AAGTGGTGGTGAATGTGCCCTTGACTTTGCAAAAAATGGCTATTTAATTTCTGTGGCAATGTGTGGCGATTTCTTTGGGCGCAGATTTCTTATGTATTTGTCTATGATCACTGTAACAGTGTATTTGACTCTGGCTGTGACCTTGAATTAGCTGTTTGTTCTCTCACTCTCTGCCTTCGGACAGAAGGGGTTAAACCTGCACACAGGAGGCAGCATGGTGTACACGGTGACCTCTGACCCCCAGGCCAGAGGAATGTGAAAACCCTTTAATCTCAAAACAAAACCTCAGACACACTCACGCAGCCAATATGGATGGCCAGTTCCCCCCTCTGTGGCAGTATTCAGCGAGCGTGAGTTTGTGTGGCCTAAAGAGAGGATGGTCATATATAAACTGCACACCCCCACTAACTGATGTGTCAAACTCTAATGAAACGCTCAAAGACTGTTCAGATTACCTGGATACACTTGTACGCAGGAATGTTGGTCACTTTTTAATAGGTAGCTATTTAGATAGTATTGTTGGGAATAGGTTGGATTTAGTGTCAGAATTGCAAGTCAGTGTTTATTTGAGTGTGCATACAGCATGTTAGATGCGCTGTGTGATGGATGGGATGTATGCATGTGGAATGTTTTTGGTGGAGAAGCGTGACAATGGCGCAGGGCTCCCTGGAGCAGCTGAATGGAGTAGTGTCACCCCCTGCACCCTCCCCGCTGGGTGACGACTGCAGCAGCGCCACACAGCTGTTGCTTCCTCTTATCCACATACATATGGATAAACATACTACTTTAAAGTCAACATGAATTGTCATTTGCAACTTGTTTACTTCTGTAATGTTACATATTTCTGAATTAAACAAGATAATCAGTAAGGAAAAAATATCTTGTGTAAAGTTTATCATTGGCGATTTGATTGGATGAAGAGTGGGTGTCCCATGCCAGAATGGACAGAAGACTTATGTCTTTAGAATAATATACACCGAATCGTTCATGTTAAGGAATGTGGAATATATATTTTTTGTTGACTTTAATAGACGATCATGCATTAATTTACACTACTGTTCAAAAGTTTGGGGTTCATTGATTGTTTTTTCTATTATGCTCCCCAAGGCTGCTTGAAATCAATCTAATATGCTGATTGGCTGTTCAGGAAACAGTTCTTATTATTATCAATGTTCAAAATAGATGTGCTGCTTTGTATTTTTGTGGAAACCATGCTGCATTTTTTCTTGATAGAAAGTTCAAAAGGACAGCATTTATTTGAAATAAATCTTTTGTGACATTTTAAAAGCCGTTGCTGTCACTTTAGAGCAAGTTAATACATCCTTGCTAAATAAAAGTATTGATTGTTGACCCCAACAAATTAATTAACAAATAAGTACTCAGTAGTTTATTGTTTGGTTATGAAGTCTGTTGTATAACAGGAGTAACCTGTGTTTGTTTGCAAGTGTTTACATTTTAGGCTCATGTGACTCTTTGTTTTTGCCACATTAGAAACTGTGTGGTCAGCAGGGAACAGGTGGATTTTGAACTGGAACTGGTTGAGCGGAGCAAAATATTTGAATAGATAATCATAAAGTGGGGGTGAATGTGCCCTTGACTTTGCAAAAAATGGCTATTTAATTTCTGTGGCAATGTGTGGCGATTTCTTTGGGCGCAGATTTCTTATGTATTTGTCTATGATCACTGTAACAGTGTATTTGACTCTGGCTGTGACCTTGAATTAGCTGTTTGTTCTCTCACTCTCTGCCTTCGGACAGAAGGGGTTAAACCTGCACACAGGAGGCAGCATGGTGTACACGGTGACCTCTGACCCCCAGGCCAGAGGAATGTGAAAACCCTTTAATCTCAAAACAAAACCTCAGACACACTCACGCAGCCAATATGGATGGCCAGTTCCCCCCTCTGTGGCAGTATTCAGCGAGCGTGAGTTTGTGTGGCCTAAAGAGAGGATGGTCATATATAAACTGCACACCCCCACTAACTGATGTGTCAAACTCTAATGAAACGCTCAAAGACTGTTCAGATTACCTGGATACACTTGTACGCAGGAATGTTGGTCACTTTTTAATAGGTAGCTATTTAGATAGTATTGTTGGGAATAGGTTGGATTTAGTGTCAGAATTGCAAGTCAGTGTTTATTTGAGTGTGCATACAGCATGTTAGATGCGCTGTGTGATGGATGGGATGTATGCATGTGGAATGTTTTTGGTGGAGAAGCGTGACAATGGCGCAGGGCTCCCTGGAGCAGCTGAATGGAGTAGTGTCACCCCCTGCACCCTCCCCGCTGGGTGACGACTGCAGCAGCGCCACACAGCTGTTGCTTCCTCTTATCCACATACATATGGATAAACATACTACTTTAAAGTCAACATGAATTGTCATTTGCAACTTGTTTACTTCTGTAATGTTACATATTTCTGAATTAAACAAGATAATCAGTAAGGAAAAAATATCTTGTGTAAAGTTTATCATTGGCGATTTGATTGGATGAAGAGTGGGTGTCCCATGCCAGAATGGACAGAAGACTTATGTCTTTAGAATAATATACACCGAATCGTTCATGTTAAGGAATGTGGAATATATATTTTTTGTTGACTTTAATAGACGATCATGCATTAATTTACACTACTGTTCAAAAGTTTGGGGTTGGTTGATTGTTTTTTCTATTATGCTCACCAAGGCTGCTTGAAATCAATCTAATATGCTGATTGGCTGTTCAGGAAACAGTTCTTATTATTATCAATGTTCAAAATAGATGTGCTGCTTTGTATTTTTGTGGAAACCATGCTGCATTTTTTCTTGATAGAAAGTTCAAAAGGACAGCATTTATTTGAAATAAATCTTTTGTGACATTTTAAAAGCCGTTGCTGTCACTTTAGAGCAAGTTAATACATCCTTGCTAAATAAAAGTATTGATTGTTGACCCCAACAAATTAATTAACAAATAAGTACTCAGTAGTTTATTGTTTGGTTATGAAGTCTGTTGTATAACAGGAGTAACCTGTGTTTGTTTGCAAGTGTTTACATTTTAGGCTCATGTGACTCTTTGTTTTTGCCACATTAGAAACTGTGTGGTCAGCAGGGAACAGGTGGATTTTGAACTGGAACTGCATCCATCAGGAAAGGGATGTTAATGCATAATACCCCATACTAATGTTAAATGCTTAATACTTAATACTTAAGCAAAATAATGTAGATAATAATCAGGAAAGGGATATGAGTGTATCACTCACTACCAAAGCAAAGGAAGTATATGAATGAATGCCCCTAGGGTACTGATGTGCCAGGAGCATGAGAAGGGTGGTGCTGTGGTGGGTTTCCTGCTGTATGTGACCCTGGACCACAAAACCAGTCATAAGGGTCAATTTTTCGAAATTGAGATTTATAGATCATCTGAAAGCTGAATAAATAAGCTTTCCATTGATGTATGGTTTGTTAGGATAGGACAAATTTTTGGCCGAGATACAGCTATTTGAAAATCTGGAATCTGAGGGTGCAAAAAAATCACCTTTAAAGTTGTCCAAATGAAGTTCTTAGCAATGCATATTACTAATCAAAAATTAAGTTTTAATATATTTACAGTAGGAAATTTACAAAATATATTCATGGAACATGATTTTTAGCATAAAAGAAAAATCAGTATTTTTGACCCATACAATGTATTTTTGGCTATTGCTACAAATATACCCCAGCGACTTAAGACTGGTTTTGTGGCCCAGGGTCATATATGAGTATGGCCCTGTGTACAAAACATAGTCTCAAATGTGCCATAATTCATTGACGAGAGATTCTCTGACTTTGTCCCTATAAATATTACATTACAGTACAGGTTATTTATAAAACCTATTATGTTTATATTTATAATACCTATAATGAAATTATATTCAAAAACAGCTTTGAACTGTTTTAATCACCTTTTGCCTTCATTAGTTTTATGATGTGATATTTATTTTTAAAAGTACAAATAGTCTCTCCATTATTATGGTAATAAAAACACTATGCTTAATAATTCTAAAATAATTATGAACATGTATTTATTTATTGTCCACCAGTGGACATGTTATCTTGCCAAAGTACACCAATATATAATATTAATAAAATCAATGTCTTATAAACCATGATAAAAGTGTATTATCGTAATATCGTACGATCTTACATACAACGTCACACGATATTACCCGTGTCGTACGACGTACGTATCGTACGACACGGGTAATATCGTGTGATAGTTGTGCAATGGGGTTTTACTTAAGTATACATTTTTTCTGTGGAACAGGTAGTGCTATTTAAGGGCTAATTTATTTGTCATCCCTAGAGGCAGCTTTGTGTCTGTGTTTGCTTTAGGATTACAGGAGCCTTACACGGTTTCATAACACTGGAGTACATGCTCACACGTGCATGACAGAACATGCATGGACACACAGAGCTTACTTTGTGCACCTCAATTGTTGATGTGGTATCGCAAGAGAAGAACTGCCAACTGCTGTTACTGCCCAGTTTACAGTTCTGTACATTACTGCCCTCTAGCTAGCGTAGTGGCAAAGGAAACGTGTTTTACAATGGTTACAGTATGCCCACAGGCAGTTGCACATTTTACCTTCATGTTCTAAGGAACCCATAATGTCAGATAAATCATGATTTTATTGTTGTAAATTATATTAGAGCTTATGTGTCTGTTGATCAACCATGAACATTAACTATTTATTAATCTTGATTCATGTAAATATTTATACAATTTTTATTTGATTTATTAACATGTTTGTAATACATAAATATTGTTTGTTGTTCATTCTTAATGCAAATAATGGTAAAATATACAACTTGTGAAGTTAAGTTCAATAAATGCTCTTAAAGTATTGTTTACAGTTAGATCAAGTTAACTAATGTTAACAAACCTTGTTGTAAAGTGTTACTTTTAAATATTTGAAAAAAACAAAATTTAAATCAGATATTTGAAGAGAAACACTAATCAATGATGTATGTCTTTTTTTCTATGAAAGGGTGAAGATAATGATGAGCACTATCGTCATCTACTCGGCCTCAGTCATGGCAGGTGGGACTGGATGAGAGTGTGAAGGTAAACAAAAAAGACAGAAAAAGCACTTACATTACAAGTTTTCAGCTCAAACAAAAGGGTGTAAGCACTGTGTTTGGCTGTCTCCCTGTGTGTAACATAACATAAACATAACAAAACATAAATCGACATGCTTAAAAATGCCTGCTGTTTATTTATTTTTTTGTTGGTCACATGTTGTACACATAGCAGACAATTTAGGAGCCTGCATCCCCTTAAACGTCGCTGCGATATCGAACCAGAGCCTGGAAGGCAGGGCAGCCACGGCCGAGTTTCAATGGCAACGGCACCCTAGGGCTGCCATGGCAGCATCTGCCGCCGATGCCCCACACCATATTGCCACACTGACGCTGGAGGACAAGGAACGACGAGGCGCCACCAAAGTGTTTGGAGGTCCCGCTGCAGGGAGGACGGAAAGAGAGACAGAGAACAAAAAAGAGAGGGAAGGGAAAGGCAGTGGGAACGAGTGTTTGGTGTGCGGTGCCCTCTTCAGCTCACAGGATAAGCTCCGGCTCCACGCGTTCTGTCACACAGGAGAGAAACCTTTCCACTGTTCCCAGCCCCATTGCCCTAAGGCTTTCAGCTCCAAATATAAGCTCTTTAGGTAGGTGCTACTTGCATGTAAAGGCCACAATATACTTCAAGTGTAATAGAAGAATACATTTTTGTAATGTAATTTTAAACTAAATCTGGCCAAAACCACCAATTTATCTTGGTGGTTCGAAACACCTTGCCAACGTGGATTTTATGGAAAACTTTCCAAAAGCTGTTTAACAACTTTGAACTGCCATTTGTCCATGGCAAGTACATAATAATAGGTGGGAGTGCTCTGAGCTCCACCTTCTTTAACAGTGAAATCTTTGTCGAGGTCAGACATGAGTGAAAACATGAACCTCATCCCTATGATCGGATGCTGCTCTTCTCTCATCGCTGTCGTTTTTGTTGTATGTTTGTTGTGTTAAGAAGATAAGTGCACAGGATTCTCATCTAAACACCACTCTCAGTAGCATGGCTAGCATCGGAAACTGCCATTGCAAAAAAAAACGAAAAAGAACTTCACCATGAGTACATTGTGGCCTGCTTCTGGAGTATGCAAACACTCCATATGTATTCATAGTACCCTTAATTGAGTACATCAGCTGCTTTGTTCTGGGTTAAAATAGTATAAAGTATAGTACAGGAGTGTAGTCCAATCCTTTTCCTGGAGAGCCACTGTTCTGCCAAGTTTAGCTCAAATCCTAATTAAACACATCTGAACAAGCTAATCAAAGTCTTGAGGATTACTGTAAACTATAAAGGTAGGTGCATTGGAGCTAAACTCTGCAGGACATCTGTCCTCCAGGAGCAGGTTTGGACACCACTGATATAATAGTTTATACCAGGGATAGGCAACATCGGTCCTGGAGTGCCGATGTCCTGCAGAGTTTAGTTCCAACCCTGAAAAAAAACCTCACCTGCCTGTAGCCCTAGTAATTCTGAAGACCTTGATTAGCTTGTTCAGGTGTGTTTGATTAGAGTTGGAACTAAACTCTGCAGGTCATCGGCACTCCAGGACCGACGTTGCCTATCCCTAGTTTATAACTTGGAGAAGGGGTGTCCAACCCAGCTACTGGATGGCCAACTTCCTGCAGAGTTAAGCTGCAACCTTAATTAAACACAATTGAACCAGCTAATTAAGGTCTTAAGGATTACTAGAAACTTTCAGACAGGTGTGTTGTAGCTGGTTTGAGCTTATCTATGCTGGAAGGTTTTCATCCAGGAGCAGGAGGTGTCCAGTCCTGTTTCTGGAGGGCCACTGTCCTGCATAGTTTAGTTCCAACCCTAATTAAACACACCTGAACCAGCTAATCATGGTTTTACTAGGCATACTAAAAACATCAGGCATGTGTGCTGAGGCAATTTGGAGCCAAACTCTGCAGGACAGTGGCCCTCCAAGACCCAAGTTTGGACACCCCTACTTTAGAGTGTCCCCTTGCAGTCTGACATGAGCATAATGAATACAAAATTTCAGTTAGAAATTTCCAATGTGTCAATCTTTAGCTAAAAACTATTTTTTGTCTCCTTTGTAGGCATATGGCCACACACTCCCCACAGAAGACTCATCAGTGCTCATTTTGTGAAAAGATGTTTCACCGCAAAGATCACCTGAAAAACCATCTGCAGACTCACGACCCCAATAAAGAGGCCTTTAAGTGCGAAGAGTGTGGCAAACACTATAACACAAAGCTGGGCTACAAGCGCCACATGGCCATGCACTCAGCCACAGCCGGTGATCTTACCTGTAAGGTGTGCTTGCAAAGCTATGAGAGCACGCCTGCACTCTTGGAGCACCTCAAGAGCCACTCAGGCAAGTCTTCAGGCGGTACCAAGGAGAAGAAACACCCCTGTGACCACTGTGATCGTCGCTTTTACACACGAAAAGATGTTCGCCGACACATGGTGGTACACACGGGACGCAAAGACTTCCTGTGCCAGTACTGTGCCCAACGTTTCGGGCGGAAGGACCATCTGACGCGTCATGTCAAGAAGAGCCACTCACAGGAGTTTCTGAAGATCAAGACAGAGTCCCCAGATATGTTGGGTTTACTTGGGTCTGGGTCTCCACCTTGTGCTGTGAAAGAAGAAATAAGCCCTATGATGTGCAGCATGGGACCTACCAAGGACTCAATGATGGCAAAGTCTTTCCATGGTGCCACCCCTTTTCCCATGGGCATGTACAACCCTCATCCTCTCCAGGCCATGTCCAATCCGGGAGTGGGCCACCATCACTCACTGGTTCCAGGGTCTTTATCCACTGCCATGGGAATGGGTTGCCATATGGAGCCCCCATCATCACTGCACCACCATCACCCACATCATCATCACCATCACCACCCTCACCATCATCACCACTCCCCACCTCCACATCAGCAGCAGCCTCCCCTACAAAATCAGCAACAGCAGCACCCTCAGCCACTGCCCAAGTACCAGCTCGGATCTACCTCATACCTGATGGACAAGCCCCTGAAGGTGGAGATGGAGAGTTTCCTGATGGATCTACAGAGTGGACTCCAGGTTCCTCCGCCACCCTCAGCCAACCCCCACTCAGCAGCTTCACCCAATAAGGAGGGTATGGAACCTCCGGCAGGATTGTCGGATGACCTTTGCGGGGACCCACTCATGTCCAAGAGCCCCGCTGTCATTGCTGAGTCTTTGTGTGCTGCTAACATGGATTTTTCTCATCTGCTGGGATTTCTTCCACTCAATCTGCCACCCTACAGTGCCCCCATGAGTTCAGGAGGACTGGTGATGGGTTATTCCACGCCCTCCACCATTTCTTCTTCCTCATCATCGTCAGCATCTTCGCATGCTGCCGAACCACATGCTGCCACAGCTGCAGTGCCTCTTACCTCTTTGCAACCTCAACCTCAGGAGCAACCAGGCTCCGGTGGGGGTCTCGGTCTTGGGTCTCTGCACCCACTCCCACCAGTGTTCAGCTCTAGCCTCAGTATGACCACTCTGCCTCGCTTTCACCAGGCCTTTCAATGAGGTCCCCACCCCAACCTGGCCTGCCACAGGGCCTCAGGGCAAAGGAGCATTAGTGCTCCACCTAGGGGTGGGGAGGTAGAACACTTGAACACATAGAATCCTTAACAAAAAGCGCACAACAGCTTTTTAATGAGCCTGGAGGAAAACAAGCATATTATTTAGGCTGTCTGAATTTTAGCTATGATTTTTGAATACACTTTTGAACCTCTCCCACCATCCCCTCTCCTACAATTTTGTAGTTAGACAGCAGCATCAGTAGGCCGTAAGGCATGGTACTGCATACTTTATAAAGTAATAATATTATTAGAAAAAGGAAAAGATTAATGTAGAAAAGTTAATCTGTCTTTGAGACTCTGAAAGACTAGTTTGAAGTGATATATGAATTTAGTTTTCTTTTCCAAATGTGAGGCCTGACTTTGCTCTGTTGTCTCTATTCTGTTAAGCTTAAAGTCAGGTAGTAGTTGGTTGCCCTTAAACTAAAACCGTCTTCATAGCCAGGAGTAGAAGAATTAGTGAAGGAATGAAGGAGTGAAATTGGTTTCTTTTTTTCTTTTTGTAAAAAAGACTCAAATCAAATCACTGTTATTACAAATTTCCAAATCAGTTGAAAAACAAATACTGTGCACCTGATTAGATGAAAATATAATCTAAAATGTGTTCTTCCAGGGTTTTTGGTTGCAAATACAAATTTACACTTGTTGGAATGGTCAGTAACTAGTTTTTAAGTGAGAGAAGCAGAGGGACTGAAAATAGAAAGGCAAAGAGGCTAAAAAAAACTGCACAATTTGTTCATTTGGTACAATGTGATCACTGACAGAACTAAAGCAAAAGAAATTTACATTCAAATCTTGCAGGTTTACAATTTATCTCAAAAGAAGCACTTTGTTTACAGCAGAAGGCACTTGACCTCTTTGGGTTGCCAAGGTGACCCACTGAAATCCCCTCCCTTTCCCCACTCTACCTTCACACTTCCTGAAAAGAGACACACGCACACATAAAGTTCAAACATCCCCCAAGTACTTTTGAATACTCCACAGCAATCTGAGTCTGGAAATGCTTTTCCTCCTTCCAGTACTAATTTTAAGTCTCCGTGGCAACTATATCTCACTTCCACATCCTTCCCACCAGATCATGATATAAATATATGTATTTTAAGAATAAAAAAGTATTTTAGTCAGGTTTATATTTTAGAGAGACATACATTGTAGTGATAACCCTGGTATATGTGAATGGAAAAAAAAGACAAAACAAAAACAAGAATATTTTTTGCAGTGTACGAAGTACCACATCAAAAATATATATTATATTTGCTTCTTTTTAAGAACATTTTGTAATTTAGATAGTTGTATTAAAAAAAATTGCTGATGGATTTAAAAAAATGTCTAGCAGGTTTACAGAATTATGTATCTTGCATCATATTGAACAAAATGGATGAAGTATTAGCTTTTCCCTATAGCTTTTCCTGTTCCTTGTTTTTCCATGCGAGTCAAAGGAGATGAATAGGATGGGATTTTACCTGCATATAATAGACTAATAGTGGCATAATCCAGTAGAATGGACTAGTCTTTAATCTTTAGAGCATGAACTAGAGGCCCAAAATGTGATCCAGGTTTCAGTTTGCATTTTTTATTCTCAGTATTCGATCAGACCTGACTGATGCTGTCTATTTGTGTGTTTGGTTGTACAGATTTTAACCTCCGTGATCATTTACACCGTCGCACTGAAATGTTCAGTTTTGATATTACAAAAACTGGAATTTAGAGGAGTTTTTGTCATATAATCTCTTATAAGTTGCCATTTCCCAGCAAGTGGACTGCACAAGTTCTTACCAAATAATCATTCATTACCGATGGCCATGTGAGGAAGGGTTGTGTGGAAAGAAACCGATGATCAATGTACCTGCAGTGAAGGCAGTGCCTCATACAAACAGATATAGTTCTCTCTTTCTCTTCACATCATCCCTTTGGGTAAATCTATTCTGTGTCCAGATCTGTGCTTATAGTGAATGTGAATATCTCACAAGCAGGAAAGACCATAGACAGGTAAAAGGCCACATCGCAAAACTAAGACGAAACAATATTATGCTGCTCTTTGTGCTGTGGTTGCCAGCAACCATAGACCACTCTGGAAACATTTTAAACTGCAAATGATCTTTTAGCAGAAAACATGCACAGTAGTACACGTGAACTGTTTGTCCGTTTTCTCTGTTCCTCAGCTGCTTTGATTCGAATGAACATTTTATGAAAAGGGTCTGAAAAGAGACACAAAGAAGTCACCAGCCTGGTCTTTGACATTCAAAGCATGGGACATTTGATTGGGATATTGCCTAGTCGTTTTGTCATTATATTATTTTCTGTTTGTTGAAACAGGACCTCAAAACAATACAACGCATCACCTCATTTTTTTTTTTTCATACCAAAAACCTGGGGAGAAGAAACTTATTTTTGCACAATTGCTAACTAAAGAATAATTAAATGAGTGTTGCTTATACTTTAAGAGTGATTTTGTTAGAAATAATTGTTTCATAAGAAAGCCAAAAACATTGAGTTTTCCCTACATTAGTGGGATGATAATGATTCACAGGCATTCATGGATTTTTGGTCATTTTCCCAATAAATAAAAAAAAAATTAAAAAAAATGTAAACATAAAAGGTCATTTTAAATGATTTGAACTGTACATTTTGTGTACAGACAAAATTGACAATTCACATATATTTGTCGTTTGGCTTGAAGCTATCCAAACTTAAAAAAAAAAAAAAAAAGATAATTTATCATTTATTTTTAAGAAATAGGAAGATATGTGTTTAACAGAATTAAAGTCTTTTGGCAATTTTAGAGTTTGTCCTCCCTGGGTTTTCTTTGAGCGGATCTGAATTCTAGCACTTTTAAACCTTAAAAAAAAAAAAAAGAAAAAAAGGAGAGCATTGTTTTTAATTTTGTATTTGATCTTGTATGTGCCATTAGTTTGATGTGTAGAGTTTATTCATCTTTATGTCGTTTTTGTTTTTCTCGTTTCCCAAAAGAGTAACAGTATTTTAGATAGATTTTCACAAATATTAACAGCATTGGCCCTTTTCCCACATTGTCTTGTCATACATTTGAGGACGTCATTTAATCTTAAAATAGACGTTAGAGTAACCTTGAATCTTGCAGCATCTGAATTCTGAAACTTGATCAAATCATCAATGCCATAAACAAAAGAAAAAACATTTCCAACTCCATCGATAACTGAGGTGTTTTCAATCAGCATTTATAATAGCAAGCTGGCAGCTTCAACTGGTGTGAAATTATTCCCAGCTCTCTGCCCCCAAAAAAGCACTTTTGGTTCAAATGAAGTTTTATATAATAACTACCTGGATAGTTGGAGCGCAGCATCTGATTTTAGTTTTCAGGTGTTTTTTGTTGTTGTTTTTTTTAACCAGCAAGACAGATTAACCAAGTTAAATTGATATTTTCCTCTGTTGTATCAATGCACTTGTCCTTTATTCCCCAAAATACTAGTTGGTTCCTATAACAGAAATATTAAGGGAAATTATGAGGTAACCAAGCTAGGGTAAATCAAAACAATCCGACTTTTAAGAAAAGGAAAAATTATTCAATAAAATGCTCTTTCGGCTTATAGTGAGAAAATGGGTACGTCCGCAGAGGACAAAATCCACTTGTAGTTTGATATTTTAGCTTAATGTATGTCTTGCATTCCAAGCTTTTTATGTAACTTGTTTAGCAATATAGTCGTTCTATTTTTAGTACTTGCTTATTACCATGACTTCTGGAAAAAAGGTGAAAACTAAAAAATGGAATATTCATCCTTACACTATTTTATATAACATGGAGCGGATGATTGACAGGACGAATTGTTAAAAAATAAAAAAAAATAAAAAAAAGCATAACGGAGACAAACAGTCTGCTTTTTTGTTACACAGCTCACCTGCGGTCAGTTGCTGCATTGTAAAGTTGACAGATTTGTATATTGGTTGATCCAAAGAGATGACATTACAACAAACCTATTTACTTATTGTACAGTACATTGTACCATTTGACTTGTAATGTGTTATGTTAAAAATTATTAAAAGACAAACCCACGGTTTCATATTTCTGGTGTCCTTTTTTTAAGCGTCTGATTTCCTGTCTGCAGCGGTGGGACAGGGTGCGAGAAGAAACGGGTTGGTTATGGCTGAAAACTGCCATTCACATACCATACGGCCAGAACCGGAAACCACACCACAGCACACAAATGAAAAGGCCTAGAACGGCACAATACCAAGTAATAAAAAACTGAGCTATAGCCAGGCTTAATTATAAAGTCTATCTCAAACCTATACTTTCACATCTCCAAGCGTTGTTTTAGGCCCAAAATGCCCACCAACAATACATAACGCACCATAATTTCTCATGTGAAATTATGACTTAAATCTGGAGGAATCTAAGGTTTTACAGTATTGTATTCCAAGAACAGCCAAGGCTCTGACTTCCTACTCTTCTGAGAAATTGCTCCCAGAACGGCCGAATTGGAGAAAATGCTCATGTGTAACATGCTGAGCAAACAAACAATGTTCTCAACAAAACATGGACGGTGTTTCAAATGTCAACATATTGGCACCTTTATTGTTTTATACATTACAGATGGACATTCTTAAAAGAGAAAGGAAAGGACTCTTAAAGAAAAAAAATAACATGCTAAAACAATTACATAATGGGACAAACGGCTCCACAAAAAAAAAAAGACTAAAATGCAACAATATAAAGCACTGTATTTACACCATAAACATACACAGACCCATTGACCCAATGCAACAGGCAGAATAAAGTACATCTGTAGAAAATGTTTTCTGTAGTTCTTGCATTTATTCATGAAGTCACATGTGAGGACAACAGATGAAGAAGCCAGCCCGATCCAAACGCAGTAGATTTTGCTAGTGTTTTAAACTACTGAATCCTGCATCTGCTTCACGTCACTGCACAAGAGTCAGAATTGGGATCCAAATATTGTATCTTGTGTTTTGAGCGAGCTAAAAATGATAGCCATGTTAAATTAATATCTATAAAGTACCATGGATGTAAGCAAATATACCACTACCTGCTGGGCACTGCACACGTTTGTGTTGATACCCTTGAATTTTGGGGTAACTCCACCAAAATACATCCGTTTTTGGCTACAGCAATAGTTCATAGGTGAAGTCAATACACGGCAGAAAGATTTGTACATAAAAATGGCTTTTCTAATGTGGAACATCAAATTTGTGTGACCTTGAAAAACCAGACCTTTTTCTTAATGGCAAATAACAAACAAACAATGTGATACTGCATCATTATAAGAGTCTTTTGGGTCCAATGACCATCAAACACAAGGAGATCTACTTTTTTAATGTCCTTGTCTTATGTCTTTACATCCCATAATTTCATTCCATGCCAAAATATGACCACACACACACACACACTCAACAAGACAAGCATTCAAGAACTCAGTTCTGAATCAAAGACAGGAGCAAGTTGAAATCAAATGTTATATTAAAAGGACACAATGTTAATTTGTAAAATGGTATATGCAACTAACCCTCAATGTCTTCAAAAGCATGAGACCCAGCCTTTAAACAATTTATGAATGTTGCTGAAGGCATTTTTTTTGTCTCACAAGGTTCTGTTTAAACATCTCATTCTCAGAAACACAAACTGCCATAAAATCCCTAGTGTGTGTGTGTACAGAGCGTATAAAAAAACAAAACAGACTGTCTAAATAATGTGTACACAGTGGGATTCAATTTATTTTACGGTTAATACCGGTTTAAGCCAAAAATAATGTCGTACACCCCCTCTGCCATTAAAAACATAAGGTGTTGAATAGGAAAGACACTTCAGTAAATAAAACAGGTCTACTGTAACAAGCTGAAGTAAAGATAGTTACCTTGTTGACAAAATAGAAAACAGCGTAGACTAGGACATAAAAGGCAGAACCTCCGGACACGAGAAATGTCCTCCACCACCACCGATAGTCCTGTAGGGGGAGGAGCCACAATGATTGACAGGTGTTTATTCAGTGTCTACTGACAGCTCTGTTCAAGTTGTACCACACCGAGTGCATATCGTCTCTATTTTAGAGGTGCTTTAGCATGCTTGCCGTTCATTCAAATCAAGTGACCTTCGCTTTTGTTATCATAACTCTTAATATTTGCCTGTTTATCTTCTGCCTGAGTGAGTGTCTTTGTGTGGACATTGAGTCAAAGAAACACCAAATAAATGAAACTGAGCAGCATTTTGGCACACAGGAGGGTCTAAATGTTGTCCGGAGAAGTTTTGAGAGTGGATTTATTGTAATTACATTTTATTTGTATTATACCTGTGGTGTTGTGTTTAATGCATAGCTGTACACGTAACAGCAAATATTTACTGTTGCAAATACTAAACAGCTCAGTTCCCTTGAGCTCCATGACCATATACCCACCTCTGCACAAAGCTGGAAGTACACCATCACAATGCTGATTTGAGAGCAGGAAACCACAAGAATAATGAAGACAAGGAAGAGGAAGCCAAACAGGTAATAAAACTGGTTTTCCCAGATAGCCTATATGAAAGTATAACACACCTCAGTGAGCTTATTTATTCACAACATCAATATGACATTTACCAGATGTATGCACTATATAAATTATTCGACTTACACTAAAGATGAAGAAGAGCTCAATAAACATGGCGCCAAATGGCAGGATTCCTGCCATCAGGATACTAAAGAGAGAGATCAATAATCACATCAAGCATGCACTGAAGTTAAAACTGCTAAATCAACTAATCACAGACTGCACAAAGAGTGTCACATACCCAACAAACTTGTTCATGTACCAGCGTTGCTCAGGGACCTGGCGGGGAATCTGATTGGTACGAACTGGATTGTCATACGGCTGCTTTCGGAAACCAAAATAGTAGCCCAGATACACGAGAGGCATAGAAATGCCAAACCACATACACAACAGAGCCAGCATTGTAGTGAAAGGAACCTGAAATATGCGCAGATGAGAGATGGCAGTCAGTGTACAGGAACATTCAAGCTGAACAAGAGGAAGTTGCTTGATGAAGCATACAACTTGACTAGTTTCTGTCTGAAACAAATGGCTGTTCTTCTAATGGATCACACAGACTCATGAATTATCGTTTCAAACAAGTGTTTAAATAAGTCTAATGACTCCTTTACAGAGTAAAACTGTAAATCCATCACTGAAAGGGATTACTGACATACTACCAAAAGTTTAAAGGAGACATATTATGCCCCTTTTTACAATATGTAATGCAAGTCTCTGGTGTCCCCAGAATGTATCTGTGAAGTTTCAGCTCAAAATACCCCACAGATCATTTATTATACCATTTTGAAAACGCCTATTTTGAGTGGAAGCAGAAACACGCTGTTTTTCGTGCCAGTCTCTTTAAAAGCAAATGAGCTGCTGCTCTCCGCCCCCTTTTCCAGAATAGAGCTGCGCCATTACAGCTCGTTTCTGCTAAAAAAACAAACATCTGTTTTGGTTCTGATTATCATGTTTACGCTGAAATCATGCGTTTTAAACCATATGAGTTTAAACTTCTTATATATGGTTTTCTGAGCGCACACATCTGAAGCACACGGACAGAAAGCGGCTGTCACAGCATGAGAGTACTAAACTAAGTTCTCATTCACACACAAGTTTACGTTAAAAACACACGAGTTACAAAAAACAGTCGGTTTTGTCTGTGAAGGTAAACAGCTGGGAAATAAATTGCATGTTTATTTTAGATCTGTGTGGCAGCAGCAATATACATTAAATAAATTAATAAATCACTGCTCTGTTGTCTCCTCTGACACTGGGACTGTAAATAGTGTTCTGTGCTCGTCTGTGCAGCCAATGACAGAACAGTTTTGCTCAAACTTTCGCCATGACATTAGAACTGCTACACCGTTGTCGCTTGCGAAAACACAATAACGGCGCCGAGGGTGGAAACTTACAGATTAAGGGGCGGTAATATTATAATGAGATCCCTTTGCCACATCACCAAGGGAGCGTAATCAGACGCGCTCGTTTTCTCAGACGCTTTCAGAAAAAGGTTTACCAAAACAAAGTCACTGGGTTAATCTTTTTCATGTTTCCTTGGTTGGTAGATGCACCGGGGACCTGATTATAGCACTTAAAACCTGGAAAAGTCAGATTTTCATGATATGTCACCTTTAAAGTCAGCAAGATTTGTTTTTTGCTTGAAATTAAAATTAAGAAATGAACACAAGAATGCATCAAATTGATCAAGAGTGACCAAAAATAAAAACACATTGTTGGACATTGTTACAAAATATTTTTAATTCAATTAAATGCTGTTCTTTTATCATCAAAAACCCTTAAAAAAATGTACCACAGTTTCCACAAAAATACTCTGCATAACAACTGTTTTTAATATTGATAACATAATATTAAAAAAATAATAATAATAAATGTTCCTTCAGCACCAGATTAGCATATAGGATCACGCGACACTAAAGACTAGAGTAATGGCTGCTGAAAATTTAGCTTTGCCATCACATTTTAAAATGTATTCAAATAGAAAATAGTTATTTTAAATTGTAATAACATTTCACAATATTTCTGTTTTTACTGTATTTTTGTATGTTTCCAAAAATTTTTAACGACCCCAATCTTTTGAACAGTAGCGTATCTCCAAATGGCTGAACAGTTTTGTTTCCTTATTAATTTTAAATTAGTAATAAAGGTTATTAACAAAACAAACATATAAATAGCCTTATATAACCTTTCTGCCTAAACAGCTAATTGCATCAGTCTGACCAGATACCTACAGCACCAGAAGAGTGTTCTCCCCAGATGAAACAGTTCAAAACAAAACAGATGCTAAAGACGACAGCTGGGTACAGAGTTGCAGTCTAGAGTGACACACATAAACATAAATGTTATTATATTTCCTTATTCTTTCAGCCAGGTAATCTCATTTATTTTCATGCCACAAATGCATCAAGAGTTTGTACTCACACAGAAAGCACCTTTCTTCCATCTGTGGCCTTTAAGAGTGCGGTAAAGTCTTCCAGCAAAGTAACCTCCGAACAAACTGCAGGACAAAACACATGGGCAGTGTTTAAATATGGCCACGTTTGAAAAAGCAAAACCTGAAAGTACATGGTGTTTTTATTGTGTATTTACCCCATAAACATGAAGAGGAAGCAGGCTGTTGTCATCAGAGCTCCTCGACTGGATGGAGACAACATCCCGAGCATAGCCACAACTACAAAACACACATGCACAGTTTCATCATATCTATGAATCATGTATCAAAAATGTTGAATTAATGAACATTTAACAAGCAAGGGATATGTAGCACTGTATGAATGACAGTCATTCTAATTATGTGGGAAATTTTTTCTGCCGTTCTGAGCACGCAGATTCCATACAGGCCTGGTCATTAGCAATTAGCTTCATATGCTACCCTAAAACAAAATCAAAAAGATCAGCGTAATACTCACAGATAACAATGAGAATCATGCAGAAGAGCTGGATGCCAGATCCCAACAGGGAACTAAGAATCATGGGATAATGAGGTGGGCGGAAAACGTCACCATGGACATTCTTCCAACCAGATTCCTCCATTGTGTCTTCCTATTAGTGACAAACAGAGAAAAAGCACCGAGATAACATCATGTAAGAGATAAGAATCAGAAGGCAAGCAACCAATCAGAATGCATCTTACAATGTCATCTTCTCTATTGTAGTTGGCAATGTCCTTCCTCAGCGTCCTTATGATGATCATACTCAGGATGCCTACAGACATACATTTGCTTAGATACCAAGACACCAGTACAATAGAAAAAGTGCTTCGAAATAAAGCAGACAAATGAGTATGAAGATGAAAATCAGCCTCACCTGACAGAAAGAACACCACGACTACAGAGTTGACGATGGAGAACCAGTGGATCTGCACATCGCTCATGGTGAGGTACGTGTCCCAGCGAGAGGCCCATTTCACCTCACTCTCCTGCAATGAAGAACAGAGCAGCGGTTTATGAGACAAACAAGATCATGTAAGGCACAGACAGTATTCTTGACTGAGGCGGCAAAGTGTCTCACCTCCCAGTGCACAGAGTAGGTAAAGAGAATTCTGTTCTCTTTAGTCGGGTCGATCTCCTGAGGGACGGGGGCAACCGTTTCAGGTAATGTGCATGTGTTTCGCTCGTCTGATTTTATATCTAGAACACATGAGTGAAGGAAGAACAAACAAAATGGTAGTAAATAAACAAAGTGTCTTTGTGACTTTTTAGGTCTATACACAGTACAATATTTTCAACATACAGTATGATATAAATGCATATAAATAAAAATATGAATACAAATAAAATAGATTTAAATATTTAAGAATACAATACAGTTGAAATGTCTGGGTAGGTGAGGTGTTATTTAAAGGGGTGAAATGATGCGATTTAAATTTTTCCTTTCTCTTTGGAGTGTTACAAGCTCTTGGTGCATAAAGAAGATCTGTAAAGTTGCAAAAACTAAAGTCTCAAATCCAAAGAGATATTCTTTATAAAAGTTAAGAGTCAACCACGCCTACCTAAAACGGCTCGTTCTAACACGCCCCCACATACAGTGGGGAAAAAAAGTATTTAGTCAGCCACCAATTGTGCAAGTTCTCCCACTTAAAAAGATGAGAGAGGCCTGTAATTTTCATCATATCACCCCACCTATCAACATGTTTCACAATTTAAATTTTACATTTCCTTGCATTGCTGGTGACTTACCTTCTAATTTTACACTCTTTGGCATCACCTCGAAACGTACAACTCTGTAATTGTGTTCGACATCCTCCTCCACCTTTTCTTTGTGGTAGTACAGGATGAATGACAGATGGTTGTGCAAATAGAACTACAAGGGCAGAGCAAGACAGTATGTGTCAATCAATCATGCAAAATCAGAAGTGAGAACCAAAATGATATCACCAAAAATAATGCATATTTCCACGATAGGTCAATAGGTGCAATTTTCTGTTATGGAAATCAATGTCCATGAATAAATAATTGCTCACTGTCTACATCTATAGACTGGCATAAAATTCTGCTAATGAAAATGATGCTCTTCAGGACTACCTTGTTGTTTTCGGTGAAGCCGAGTCTGTAGCCATGCTCAAACTGGATATCCTTCTGTGTGTCCTTCCTCTGTTCCTCTTCCATTCCTTCCTCTTTGTTTGGGTAAAGCTCCAGCCGTGTGGCCACAGGGAGGTTATCTGCAATACTGTTCATATGAATAACACATTAATCAAAAACTACTGACAACAATGAACTACGCAGATATTGTGGATTTGCATCTCTAGGTGGAGATTTGCATGAATTAGGATATTCAGCATAAAATAATGTACTGTTCAAAAGTTTGGTGTTAGATAGATTTGTTTTTGAAAAGTCTATTACGTTCACCAAGACTGCTTTTATTTGATCAAAAATACAGAAAAAAACTCATATTGAAAAATATTACAATGTAAAATAACTGTTTTCTATGATAATATTATTGAGATGTATTTTTTTCCTGATGGAGAAGCCATCACTCCAGTCTTCAGTGTCACATGCTCGTTTAGAAATCATTCTAATATGCTGATTTGCTGCACAAGAAACATTTCTTATTAACATCAGTGTTGAAAACAGTTGTGCTGCTCATTTCTTTCCTTTTTGGAAACCCCGATACACGGTTTCAGGATTCTTTAATGAACAAAGTTCAAAAGCATTTATTTGAAATACAAATATCTGTAATGATGTTAAAGTCTTTGTCTCTTTTGATTTATCTAATACATACTTGCTGAATAAATGTATTAATATAAAAACACTCCTGACCATACTTTTTCACAGTAGTGTATAATTTAATTTATTTTTTGTAAATGATGATGTTAATGCAAGTCGACTTGTCTAACTAATCTATTTCCACTTTCATTAGAGCTTGCAGAAATAAGTTGTTGTGCATTTGAATTTTTACTTTTGACATGTCTTATATATAGAAAAATACTTTTCAGGAAAAAAAAAGCCAGCACTTCGCATTTGGGCTTCTTTCATGAAACACTAGCAGAAATAACGTTTAAACTGATGCATTTCATTGAATGTGTAATGTTTCATCAATGAGGCCGGAGAGTGTGGTCAGTTGAGGAGGGACTCACAGGTGGACATAGTACTCTTCTTGGATGCGCTCAGCTAGCAGCTTGCTCTCCTCCACGCTGAGTTTGATGGGATCATCAGGCTTTTTACACAACACCTCACACTTCTTGTCCAGGTTCATGAGAACAGTGTACAGTGTGTTTACGATACGGTCTCCTCGCAACACCTCACCTGATCACATATCATCATTACCAAAATGAGAAACATAGAAATGTCAACCTTCTCACTGCAAGCTTTTGTTTTTAAACCTATAAATGCTTAAAGGGATAGTTCACCCAAAAAATGAAAATTACCCCATTTACTCACCCTCAAGCCATTCTAGGTATATATAACTTTCTTCTTTCATATGAAAACAATCAGAGTTATTAAATACAAAACTAAATGTCTTTATAATGGCAGTGAATGGGTATTGAGATTCAGTAGCCCAATAAAATTGTGCATCCATCCATCATAAAAAGTGCTCCATACGGCTCTGGGGTGTTAATAAAGGCCTTTTTGTTTGTGTAAGAAAAATATCCATATTTAAAACTTTATAAACCGTAATCTCTAGCTTCTGCTAACTGCCGTACACACACGTTCACGAGAGAGTGGTGTTCCAGCGGATGATGTAGGATGTAGCGTAATCGCCGGTGAGTAGGGATGTAACGATTAACCGCGAGCCGGTTGAAAATCGATTCAAATATGTGACGATTCAAATCGGTTGAGATGCTAAACAAATCGCGATTCAATTAGGGGTAGGTGTTTATATGAATGTATGAGGGGAACTTACTGTCTTTAGAAAAAAGTTTAGATGGTATTTTTTCTTTTCATCTTGCCTCTGTATAATGCATATTAAAGTTCATAAGTGCAGCGCTGCTTTGTTTACAGCGGAAACCAAGGAAATGCTTTAAACGCCACCTGCTGGCAGAGAGTGCATCTGCATCTCATTCAGCTCGTCTGCTGTGTGTTTCATGCAGATATTTTTTATTTATAGTTTCACAAAACTGAAGTCAAACCATTCTGTTTTTGCTTCAAATTTCGAAATTATACAACAATTTAGATTTAAAAACTGATTATGTTGCATATTTGCAGCATCTTTGTTTGGATCATTATTAAAATGCAGTGGTTGCCTTTCATTTTAAAAGGAAAGAGCACAGACAAAGCCTTAGTTTGTTTATATGAAGAGATTTCTTTTATTTGTGTTATTTAATTTGGGGCTTGGTTTAAAATTTCAATGTAGTTTTGTTATTTACATTATATTTAAATTTTGATATTTAGCAGACACTTATCCAAAGCGACTTACAAATGAGGACAATAGAAGAAAATAAAACCAACAAAAGGGCAATAATATGCAAGTGCTATATTATTATAGTGTCACATTTCAATTTAACAAAGAAACGTGCAGCATTTTGTCCAAGCAATAATAAAAGGACACATTTAATTTATAATTTGTCTTAAATCTCATTTTTTTAAAGAAATCGTGAATCGAATCGTGAAAGCAAAGTCGTAAATCGAATCGAATTGAGAGTTGAGTGAATCGTTACATCCCTACCGGTGAGAAATCATGGGGTAATTTTAATTTTTGGGTGAACTATCCCTTTAAATATTTCAGACATGTGACTGCAGTGAAATGACACATGATCCTTACCGAGGTTCTCTGCCTTGTAAAAGATGACATCAGGCTTACAGAAGGGAAGCGAATAGTACTCATAGGGCAACTGTGTTCTAGAGCTCGTCAATTTTACAGCCTGGTAATTAAAAACAGGTAAATTTTATAAACACCACAATACAAAAATCTAGAAACCTGTGGAGAAAGAATCTGTGGAATGAGTGATAAAGATGTCAAACACTGTGGCCTGTATCTAGTTCAATAAATATTGGAAAGACATGTCTGTGTGGAAAACAAGTGGTCAATACATAAGTAAACTACCCTAGAACCTGATGTGTCTAGAGCAAAAGTGTTGTTTTTTTAGCATTTCTAAAGTGAAAGAAATAATTAAGCCAGAGTTAAAAGGCAAATCCCAACTCAAATTTGTAACTCAAATTCTTTATTATAATTTTTTTTTTTAAAGTGAGAGGCTTCACCTTTATTTCAACAGGGCTGTTCTGGTGGAAATTCATAGGTGCAACCCCTGGTACATAAAAAGGTGTTACTAAAGGCAGCGTGGACACTATTAACAGTGCCCACATCTCCTACAAAGACAAAAAAGACACACAAAGCCAAATTTCTTTAGTTACTCATCTCTAATCTTGTTGCAAAACCAAAAAGCACATTGACAGTCAACACTTTAAATAAAATCATACATTCTTGTAACACTGAACAATGGCCAGGTGATTGTAATTTTACTTATACTGATGTTAATATTGAGCTCTGCTGTTGGAGTGAATACCCTCTATTACACAACCAGGTGATAAATGATCCATAAACTATACTGACAGGTAAAGCAAGGTGAATGTGAAACGACCTTAATTACATGTCCAGACAAACAATTACAGTCATCAAACGAAAAAAAACAGCACTGCACTTTTTTTTTTTCATTGTCTTTATCACTCTCGCTTTTCTGTGTTTGCGCGGTCCAGACCAGAGTATGCACTCTAAAAAATGCGAAACGACCTTAATTACATGTCCAGACAAACAATTACAGTCATCAAACGAAAAAAAGAAAAAAAACAGCACTGCACTTTTTTTTCATTGTCTTTATCACTCTCGCTTTTCTGTGTTTGCGCGGTCCAGACCAGAGTATGCACTCTAAAAAATGCTGGGTTGTTTCAACCCAATGTTGGGTCAAATATGGACTAACCCAACTGTTGGGGTAAAAAGCTAATTTAAAAATGTAACCAAAATTTAACCCAACAGTTGGGTTAGTCCATATTTGACCCAACATTGGGTTGAAACAAGCTTTTTTTAGAGTGTGTGAGTGGTGTGGAGTGGAAACATAGTACAGTTGGAGTAATACAGTCGCAATGAAACAGAAGTAGCGACAGATCTTCTCTTCTGTATCGTGGCGCATGTCTGAGTGAAACAGGTTACCAAAATAAAAAATAAAAATTGGTTTTATGCATGGATCGTTGATTTACATTTTGAGATGTGGGTGTTGCACTCAAACATGAAGTCGACTGCAAGAAAGAGGCAGGGCTTAAGCAGACTGAATGATTGGAGTCCTGCAGATGTCACTAGAGAGAAACATCCTAATTATTGGATTTACACATTACACAGTTATGACATTTTGATTTAAGGTTATGAGGTCAGAAAATTACAAGTGTAACATAAGTGGATGAATAATAGTGTGAATTTTCCTTTCATACCGACTTTAAGCAACAACACTCTTTTCACACACTTCTTTCCTCACAAAATCAGTTACACTTAAATCAATGCAGAATGCTCATTTATTTACTTAACTGGTAAGTTGTCGTTTAATTATGCTGGGAAATGTGCAGTCAGTTTCGTGTCGGGGTTATTTTGCAATAATTAATGGCCCATTATTTAATACAATGACATAAATGGTCTCCAAACTCTTCATATTAAACCAAAACTTTATTCAACTGTCGACAAGTGTCAGTGGACACATTCACAAACGCTGCCAACACATTAATAAATTATGAAGGGAATTAATTCAGCAAGTGTGATTTGATTACTTTATCAGCATCATCTTCCTTATATTTCGTGAGGCAGTGAATGCTAAAGCAGCGCAAACGCATTACAATGACTGACAGAGCAGATACAGACCGTTTACTATGAAACACCGTCGCTTTTTTTAAAGTAACGAGAGCTGTCTGCATCATATGGCTTAGGTTTTAGATTAGATCAGGATTTTAACTCGTTCTCGCTCTTAGCAAACACTCGATAATTAGCTACCTGCTAAGTGTTTATGCTAGCCGGCTGTTTTTTTTTTAATCGGCATCCACGGCGCGGAAATAGCCAATCCCATCAAATGACACACTAACAATGAGCAACGCAAAACAAAATGGTTTAAATTAGGTCATCTCTGCCAGTGTGAAATCAAACCTTTTGTGAAATAGACAAACAGAAGTCACTTTAGCGTCGGTACTCACCAGCGCCGCCGCCGCCGCCATCTTGACTACGCGTGTCATCGCAGACGTCACAGGAAGGATGTCATTTCTTCTTCTTCTTCTTCTTCTTCTTCTTCTTCTTTGGTGTTTTATTGGCGGTAGGATGTCATTTCACTCTCAAAGCTCACGAGGAAGTCAAGGCTTATGAATATTGACAAAAGAGGGTGGCAACAGCTCAGTGGAAGTTTCAGCATTTAAACGAGGAATTTAAAATGTAAATCATATTTATCAATATATGTAGTTGTGAAGATTTATGGATTCAATTTCCTTATTAATTTTTATACAGTTTTAATACACTGTGGCCTTTAATTCTTTATCATTAGTAATATCAACCTTAATATGAATGGATAATATATACATACACACATGCACAGTGGGTATAAAAAAGAATCACCCCCCTTTACAATAATCAAATTTTGTTGGTTTGCAGCCTGAAATGAGATGGACACAGTTTATGTTTTATGCAGCTGTATTTACTCAGTGCAACTTATAACATCCAAGTGAAAGATATAACACCAACATGTCAGAGGAAAACAGAATCACGGAGTTGGAAACATGATCACCCCCTTGTGTCAGTATTTTGTTGAACCACCTTTTGCTTTAATTGCAGCCTTTAGTCTGTTGGGATATGTCTCTGTCTCTACTAACTTTCCACATCTAGACTTTGGAATATTTGCTCACTCTTCTTTGCAGAACTGCTCAAGTTCAGTTAAATTTGATGGTGAGCGTTTGTGGACTGCAGTCTTCAAGTCATTTCACAGATTTTTTCAGTGGGGTTTAAGTCTTGGCTCTGATTAGGCCATGCAAAGACATTCACCTTTTTCTCCTTCAACCACTGTGTGCTCAGTTTTGCTGTGTGCTTTGGGTCATTGTCATGTTGGAAGGGAAACCTTCTTCCCATTAACAACTTTCTTGCAGAGAGCAACAGATTTTCCTCAAGAATTTGATGGTATTTTGCCCCATCCATTTTTCCTTTTATCCTGACAAAAGCTCCAGTCTCTGCTGCAGAGAAACACCCCCATAAAAGGATATTACCACCTCCATGCTTTACTG